TTATTTCTGAGGAAGCCTTTGGGACAAAACTACTAGCAGCAGGGTTGCCATCTCTGAATGAATAAAATCAGCGACATTATTATTTGGCAAAGAACACCGAGGTAAAATATTAGGGGTTAAATCTTGTTACTTGATTACAGGGGTGCACGAAACGTCGAGACAAATTGAAAATTTTGAAAAATCAGAATAGGGATCATGTTGAAAATTATTTTCAAATAAACTGAACACAGAGGAGTTTCAAAAAACTAATTTTTTTTTTTAAATAAACACCTTCTGTTGAAATGACAAACTTTAGACTTTCAGGCACTTTCTCAAAAGTTTGTCGCAACATAATTTTAAGCCATATTTTGGTCAATTCTTCTTTTAGGGTTTCCATATTTCGCTAGCCTTTCCTTGACCTCAAATCCTCCATCACTGACCAAATTCAAAAATCCCTTTATTTGGTTCAGTCTAAATAGTAAAAATTTTTTACTTTTTAGCCTGAACCAGATTGATTCCAAAGAGACAGCACCCTGCAGGGTGCTGTCACTTTGGAAAGGTTTTGTCAACTGGGATGTCACCTCTGGACTTTCCAATGATCGTGTCATTTATTTGGTTCAGGCAAATAGTAAAAATTTTTTCATCTGTTTCAAACAATTGAAACGTTGTGAGCTTGGAAAAAGCCCAAAAAAATGTGCGCTCGTTTTCTCCGTTTTTCTTTTGCTGCTTCACTCAGGAGCTGTCATTTACTTTTCACAAAACTCTTTCGGTCTAAATCTAAATAAATCAACTGCCGATATTTTTCCAAAAATCGTCTTCTTCTTTTTGAAGATTTTTTGTTGTCGGACTTTGTAGTTAAGATCTATTTAATTGTACGTTCTTTTTTTTCCCACATAAACACATTTTTTTCACACACAAACACATACAGCTTTTTAATGGTCTCACGTACGATGAAATTATGCTTTGAACTCATTCAACATTTTTTGCAATAAAAAATTAAATTAAAAAAAAAAATCATTACTATTGTTACAAAAATTAAATTAAAAAAAATCTTTACTATTGTTACATTTAACTTGTTTTAAATTTTTTCCACACATAATGCGAAAAAGTGCGAAATTCAAAATTTTTTCGACCGGGGGGGTCAGCAGCTCCCCCCCCCCCCCCACAATAATTTTTTTCAATAAATAATTTTGATAAAAAATGACTTAAAAAAAAATAGATATTAATATTAAAACTATTTCGAGACCCCTTAATCCTGCATTGCCCTCCCCCCCTCCCCATATAACTTTTGTTCCTACGGGCCTGAAGTTCAAATTAAAAAACTATAACCACTATATACTTTTAACCATAACTGGAAACAAATTAAATTAAACCAAAAAATACCCAAAAAAGAAAATTCCTTAGAATAACAGATAAATTTATTTTTTGCGTGCACAAGCATGTGTTTTTTTTTAGCATAAGTTTTTTTTTGAACTTTTAAAATGTGTCTTTTAATTTTTTTTAAATATCAACTAATATTGGTAATGTAGCTAGAGAAAAAATTGCTACGACTTTTGAAAAAGAACAAGTGCCAAAATAAATTAAAAAAAAAAATGTGTATGTTTTTTTCTATGTATATTTGTCCGTAATCAAATCTGCGTATTGGCAATTATGGACAAAAAAAAGTTTATTAATAATAATTAAAACATAAATAAACATAAATAAAATAATTAAATTTATTTTTATATAGATCGACTTTTGTTTTTGAAAAGTTTACTTATCAAATAAAAAAAAGTTTAATATTCGCTCTAAAAAACGATGTATTCAATTTTTAGTTAAATATTCCCGTAATCAACAATTTCTATGGTATAGCATATTTTTATATAAAAATAATTTAAGAGTTATAAAGACGCGGTAAAAGGCTTATAGTCTAAACGCAGAAGTTGAATTAACTTTGTATAAAACTGAAACAGTTTTGTTTTAGATACTGTTTAATTTGTATATCCCTTGACTAATATAGGGTTCTAATAATTTTTTTCTAGGTAATATTTTTATCCGTGAGAGTACCAAATTAAATATTAATTAAAATTGGCCAAAATTTAGAATAGCGATGGGATTTAAATTAAACGAAAAAATAAAAAAGCAATCAAAATTTTGAAAGCTGGATTAACGAGAAACTTAATCTTATTTTGTTAATCCAGCTGAAAATTGAGGTTAATAGTCTTCAGTATCAAGTATTCCAAGGCAGGATGCCGGCTCTGGCCATATAATCGAAGTGGGTAAGAAAGGCAGCGTGAACTTTCTTGTTAAATGTTCTTCCGCATTGTGATAAGATCGTTAAATGTTTTTGTATAAAATGGAAAAAAAGATAAACAGATAAAAAAAAGATTAAACTGGGTGAACCATTACCAAACACAGTATGACAAGCCGAGCTTGTCCGCCACTATATATTTCTGTAGAATTTGACAGGAAAACATTTTCCAAAAACCGATTTTTTTTTTCTCGAGCGCTCTTAAAGTATAAAATAATTTCCGTAAAACCTTACTTTTTTAACAAGTATTGAGCGGCAATTTTAAAGCATAAGTTATAAGAATTTATTATTCAATCAAAGTAAAAGAACATTTTTAAATCAAAATTTGTGTATTAAAACTATCAATCACAAAAATTATATATTAAAACAAAAATATATTTAATTAAATTTTTTAATAAATATTTTTTTTTATGAATATTGTATTAAAATTATAAATAAAAAATATTGATATTTGTTATATTCTTTTAAGATTCTAAAAACTTTTGTTCAACAACGGGCCGCTGAAACGAAGAGTTTAAAAAAATGTCTTAAATGAATTAGTTTGGAATTTAAAAAGTGCCTTGATAAACGTATACGTAATTATAGTATGACATTAAATAAAACACAGATACTAGCTATGGAGTTTTTATAAGATCTATTTTTAAGAATTTGCATTTAAACTTTGGTAAGCGTATGTTTTCACATTAAAAGCAAAAAAAATTACCCGTTAAATTTCATATTTGAGTGTCTATTATTAGCCATAAGGATAACTGGCTATATCTATTTTTATTCAGTGATTGTTTTCTTTTAGTAGAGATTTAGCGTTAGTGTTAGCTTGCCTTAACGCATTGACAAAGTCATTTTCCCCTGTTTTTGAATGTTAATTTTAGAAATTAATTCATTTTAACAATAGGGTTTTAAACAAAAATAGTAAAGAGATTAATATGTTTATTTAATATTTATCTATTAATAAAACTTTTTTGTTCATGTTAAATTAAAATCGTAATACATTGCTACAAATTTTTATAAATTTTTAAATTAATATTTTTGTTTTCATTAATTATTAATTAGTGTAATAAGTACATTATATTGGCATATTATATGTAAACACATTATGTTATATGCATTATCAAATATTATATATTATCATATACATATCACACACACATACACACACACACACACACACACACACACACACACACACACACACACACATATATATTATATATATATAACATATATATATATATATATATATATATATATATATATATATATATATATATATATGTATAAAAAATATATATATATATATATATATATATATATATATATATATATATATATATATATATATATATATATATGCATATAAATATTTTAAGACTGATAAAATTTAATTTACAATGTATTTAGTGTATTAAATAACATTAAAGTATTATATTAATAATATATTACTCTGTTAAGAAGTAATAATAAAATTGAAAAAAAAACAACAAAAAAATAACAATATTACAATGATAAACAATGTTAATTTTAGTTTTTAAAATAATAGTTTATTAACATACCAACAATAAAAAATCAATAGAGCTTATAATAATAAAAGTCAATCAACAGAATATTAAAATTAATTAGTGATAATAGATAATAACTTGATAAGCATAATAAGAGCAATAAAAATATTAATAAAAAAGTAATAATAATGCTTATATAATTTTATTGTAAATGATAAGATTAAAGAAAAAAAATTAGCAACTAAAAGTAAAATACAAATTTTAAAGAAAAAATGTTTGGATAAGTACAGCATTAGAAAATAATAATTAAAAAAATCAAAGTATAAAAAAAGGTTTTTCCCTGGATTTTTATTCTAACAATGAGTAATTAAAAAAAATAAAATAACTAAATAGAATATATGTATGTTTAAGTTTTCTTAATCTTTGTGCATTGTTGTGCTTTTTTCTACAACTTTTAAAGTTATTATTATTCTGCTTTATTTGATATTTGTACATATTATACCTTTTAATCTTTTAAAATCTGTAAATCGAAGTTTGATAAACTTCGATAAACTATCATACTGAATTTTCAGAAAAAAATATAAGGGAATAAAAAAAGTAATAGTTTTATCTCCAGTATAAGTCCTTTAGATAGTGCTTGCCCAAACCTAAAAACTCAGTTGATCTATCTACTTAATCCCTCATTTGAATCTGTTCATTAATATTTTATGTAGACCAAGTCCACAGTATAAGATACATACATATTTTAGTTGATCAATGTTTACAGGGTGGCCAGCAACCAGGAAAACCTGGAAAAGTCAAGGAAAAATTTAAACTATGTTAAAAAGTCAGGGAATTTATTAAGTTTTGCAAATGTCATAGAAAAGTCAGAGATTTTTGATGGACCCAGTAACAAAATATATATATTTATTTGCATTATTGTGAGCTTAAAATAATTTTTTTCTTTATTCATATTTTATTTTATTTTTTTATTTAAAAATCTATGTTTTAATCTAAAGTAAACAGTTTTTAAGAGAAATTCTAATATTTGGGTATAGTTGTGTGAGTTTTATTTGTTGCCTTTCTATTGCTATTTATTAAATTTACATCGGTAAGTCATGGAAATTTTATTTTAGTCAAATCAAAAATAGTCTGACCACCCTAGTTTATTCAATGATATATAATATAGTTACTTTTAAAAGATTTTAAGCATATTTATAATCTTAAATTTCTAATAATACATTGATTTATATTAAAAGATAGTTATTTAAAAAAATTTATCTTATTTAGAAGTAAATAAATATGAAAAAGACTATTTTATGAGTACTTATCATAAACTAATTATGATACAATGAGTATTGCAGAGACCACATTGGAGCTTACTTTTCAAAAAGATCAAGATAATTTCATTGGAAAGCTTCAAGAATTTCATGCTCTTAGAGGGTGAGTTAATTCTTAATTAAACTATATAAAACATCTAGTACAGGGTTTTTGAATAACTTGTTATTTATGTATAGCTTATGAATAACGATATTGTTAATTTCATATATAATTCATGTTATACTTCATATATATATATATATATATATATATATATATATATATATATATATATATATATGTATATATATATGTATATATTTATATATATATATATATATATATATATATATATATATATATATATATATATATATATATATATATATATATATATATATATATATATATATATGCTCTTGCTTGTTTTTTTTTAATTTTTATGATAAAATGTAAAATATCGGTCTTTTAAATTGATTAAAAAAATAATTAATTTACAAGACTGGAAAAATTTAAAAAGTTTTTTTTAAGTGATAAATTGCCTGCCCCAACCTTTGTCGATGTAGCAGCACTTCTCGCATGTTCTACCTATTTGTCAGTCAGATATTTATCAGTTGATGTATTAAAACTGTAAAAAAAAAAAAAAAAAAAAAAATATTCAGAATGTTTTTTATTTAAAAAAATAATAATAATTCCAGTCTATTAAGTTTTTGTGGTTTTTTAAAAAGTAATAAAATCTAATTGATTTAAAGTAGTGATAAGCTATAGTCTTCTTTTTGCCCTGGTCATGTAAATCTTTTATTCATGTACTTTGTAATTGTAAATATTCTTTAACACAAAATATTAAAAAATATATAAGTTTCTTTAATTAAGTAAAATGGTTTTTACCTAAATTATACTTAGTTTTATCACTTTTAAATACAAAGAGTTGCTAAGAGCTGTTTGTAAAGATGTTTAAAAAAAATTTTTTTAATGTTTTTAAATTTTATATTTATTTTTTTAAATACTTGTTTTTAAATTATTGCATTTATGTTTCTTGATATATTCACATAGTGCACTTTTTTTTGTTTTAGTTTGGTTTTAAAAGTTATTTTTATTTTTTTTTTACATTTTTTTTTTAATTTTTTTATATACATTTTTTTTACATTGATTAATAAGTTGACACAGTATGAGGTGTTATGATAAAATGGAGGTCTTAAAAATAATTTTCACATAAAATTTGTAACCTTGCTGCCTAAAAAAAAAAAAAAAAAGTTATTTTTTATCAATTGACTCTGAACCTGGCCCTAGCTTTAGGTATAGGTCCCATTCAAAGTCTAACCCTGGTCTGTCATAGTGAGTCTATTAAGTTTTTGCACAGCTTATGACTATGTATCAGGCTTGGACAGGAATGTCAGGAATCACACACTAACTGACCACGCTTATAATTTTTTTTCTTTATAATTTGACCACAAAGGTTTTGATGTTTTTAGCAATTTAAATGCTATTAAAAAAATTGTTATTTAATAACTTTAAAAGCATTTTGTGTAAATTAACAAATGTTGTATTTAAATTTTTTATGTAGGTATTAATATTTTTATGTAGGCATGTTTGAGATGAATTTAAATATAATAATTTGTTTGAAACTCTTTTTCCGTGTCTTTCCAAAAATCTTTTGAAAGATAATTTTTCAAGTTACTTTATATTATGAAAAAATTGAATTAAATCTGTTGCAAAGGATTTAATAGATATAATTTAATTGCTTTATTTGCTTTATATTTTTTTTGTTTCTATTTTTACAAAGAATTGTTTAAAACTTTTTTTTTAACTTGACTAATTAATCAGAGCATGAAATGATTAAAAATTACTATTTTAAATAGACTACAGTATTTTTTTTAAACATTTTTTTTTTTACATTTTTTTGAAAAAATAAATGTTTATACAATTTAAAAATAATATATGTAACACTTTTTAGTAATTTTTGTATTTATATAGTATTTTATATATTATATTATACTTTATATAGTAAGTTTTGTAAAATAAAATTTGTTCATTCATTAAACAAGCATAAAAAGTAATTTGTAAAAGCATTTTGTGTAACTCTAATAAAACGTTTTAAAAGATAAATTTTTAAGTAATTTATTTTAAACGCAATTAAAAACGTAACAAAAAGTAATTTTTGTTTCCTGTTTTTTAGTTTTATTTTAATGCTTATATATTTTCTTTTTCATAAGGAATTGTTTTCTTTTTTCATTACTGTTTTTTTTTTAATTTTCTTTCTAGTTTAAGTTTAGCTAGCGTTTCTTTTTTCAGCGCATTTTTAAAATGTTTTAAAATCATTTAAACATCTAAGCAGTTGTGGTCAAGTTGTTAACAAATAAAATCATTTGGGTGATCAGCAATAACGCTCCTTCACACGCCATTCCTGTCCAAGCATGCATATTAATTTAAGCTTCATGTTGGGCCTCAAATGAAGCAAAATTGTGTAAAAATTTTATAAGTAGTTTTTAAATAAATTATTATTTTAAATATTTTTTGCACAAAATGTATCATTTTTTAATTAAAAATATTATATAATTTCACTTCGTTTGAGATCCAATATGACATTTTGAAAAACAAAAAAAGCAATCTATAAATAAGGGCACTGAGAGCTTCATGCTGCCATGGACAGCAACTCTGATTGGTGCTCCTATTTTTCTAAATTTTCAGTGAAAGTATTTGTTCTTTTTTTTTTTAAGGTATCTTTATTTTATTTGACTTCTTTTAGACATCTGCCGCCCAGGGCAACTCATTATTATATTCTTTGTTGTGTTTCACAATAGTTCTATTTTTGTAATTATTATTTTTAGAAATGCGTTTGAACGAATTCCAACTTTTGGAGGACAGTCATTAGATTTATATGCACTTTATAACACTGTAATTTCTTTTGGGGGTATTGATGAGGTTACTAAGAAAGGAAAATGGGAACAAGTTTTTAAGACATTAGGATATCCACCATGCACTAATGCAGATTTTGCTTTGAAGCAGCATTATTCAAGGTATATTTGTTTTTTTTTAATGTTTAATTCTATAAATTAGTGAAGAGAGTATATATTGTTCTAAAATTTATATAATAAAAAACATGTTAAAATATGTTAAAAAATTAATAAAATATATCTAACCTTTTTATTTTATCTCCAGTCACTATACTGAATGCTAAATTTTTGCTTAGCATAGCTAATAAAGAACTAAAAGCTGTTATTAAAAATTACAAAATAAATAAGAATCGACTTTAAATTATAATAAATTTAACTCTACTATATACATAAAATCGCCCATTGTGATATTTAGCGCATGTAAAACTGAAACATGTTATTGACGTGTTTCAGTTTTATAATTTTATATTATTATAATCGTGCGATTATGTGTGCTTGGCATCAAGTCTTCGAGAGCAATATTCAGGGTTGGAAATTGGTTCCTTTTCGGTCATCCATAAATTACATACACTAGTATAGGGTTCACTCAAAAGCATACCAGTGAGTTCAAGTGAAACGGTGGATGATTTTTTGTTTGAATTTTTTTCATGTAAAGTCCGGGTAATCAGATGAAAAAGCTTTGGTTTTTTTGTTAATGGATTAGTTTATCTACCGTAAAAAGTACTTTACTGCGGCTCTGATATTAAATACAAACAATGAAATATCATATAGTTTCATCTATTTTATAGCCATTCTCAGAAGTTTAAATTTATTTCAAATCAAGTTTTTACAGTTATATTATTATTAAAAAAGTATTCATCTTATGGGTATCCATAAAGTAGGTACACAGTAAAATCACTGATTTAGGACCCCCTTGTACCAACCTGTATGCTTGTGAACCCTCCCTCCCTTGTTGTACAAATGCATATTTTTTTTTTTAAAATAAAGCCCCTTCCCCAACGCATAAATATTTCAAAACATTAAAAAAAAAAAAAAAATTTACATTGTTTTACATTTTTCTGTACTTAACTAAAATTTAAAATGTTACTTAATGTACTTATTTAAATATTAAAATGTTCAACATATTTTAACATTTTTAGAGAAAAAAATAAATATGATAAAAACCAGTTTGCGTACAGTAATTTAAAAATAAGAATTCAAAAAAAGTTTGCTTTTATTTGACATCTTTTTGCTTATCTGGCCACCAATCAAATTACGTTGTGAAAAATAAAAAATATTTGAAACAATTGTTGCTCGATTTCTTTTTTCTCTCATTATTTATAAAGAAATTTAAAAAAATAATTGTCAGAAAAAATCATAATACTGATTTGTTACACACGCGAAATTAAAAAGAAAACAAGTAAAATCAAGTTTATGAGAGATAGTCAAACCATGTACATACTCACTATCTTTAACACCCCTTTCCTTCCCCCCTTGTATGCATTTGTACACTTTTGGGAACCCCCCTTCCCCCATATCTGCGTATGTACTTTATGGATGGCCCCTTAAGAATAAAATTTAAAAAAAAATTATTTATAGATTTAAATTTAACTTATTATTAATTTAAGTTATTACTATTTTAATAACTATAATATTTAATTTTAATAACTCTCTCATTAAAAATGTTTAATGCATGATTTCTTAAACTAAGTTTTCTTGTCTCACTTTCCAAATTTGCGGTTTAAAACTTGATTTTTCAAAATTCTATCAAGTTTTAATTTTATAAATTAAACTTTCTATTCTCATTTGGATGAACACATTTTGAAAATAGTAAACAATCCAATCTATCTGTTAGCAGTAATTGCTTTGTAACTGTCCATTTATTGTTTGTATGAAACAGAAAACTGCTTTCTAATTTAAACGGAACGCACGATTTAATTATTATCAAGTGAATTATTTTTTATATACTTGATTACATACTTAATAAATTTATTCTAGACTTATATAATATACTTATACTAATATCATATATATTAGTGTAAGTGTGTGTGTGTGTGTGTGTGTGTGTGTGTGTGTGTGTGTGTGTGTGTGTGTGTATATATATATATATATATATATATATATATATATATATGTATATATATATATATATATATATATTTATATATATATATGTGTATATATGTATATATATATATATATATATATATATATAAATATATATATATATATATATATATATATATATATATATATATATATATATATATATATATATATATATATATACATATATACACATATATATATATAAATTATATATATATATATATATATATATATATATATATACATATATATATATATATAAATATATATATATATATATATATATATATACATACATATATATATATATATAAATATATATATATATATATATATATATAAATATATATATATATATACATACATATATATATATATATTTATATTTATATATATATATATATATATATATATATATATATATATATATATATATATATATATATATATATATATATATATATATATATATATTTACACAAATGTAATATATAAAAAACTTATATACTGACATATATTCGTAGAAATGCGTTTGGTACAAAAGCTCATGAAGGCATGAAACTAGTTATAATCACAGTTTGAAAGAAAAAAGAAAATGTGATGTAATTGTATTGAATTCACCTCCCCAAGGCCTCCTTGGCTTTGGAGAGGTAAATTCATTACAAAAAAATAATTATATAAAAGTATTAGAATGTAAAATGTTTTGATTTGAAAGCAAATTCAAAAATTGAATAACTATTGGAAAAATAAGTTTTTAACTACAATATTAGTTAATTAAGCAGTGATCAAAAAGGGAGAAAAATTTAATGGGATGCTTTTCAATATTTTTAAAATACCATCTCATCATTGCTATATATATAATACATTAAAAGATAACAAGCTGGCATATCACCTCGTCCTGTCTTACTTGGAGTACTGCTTATAAGTATTGATTAACAATTACTGTTTGATAAAAAACAGCAGAAAACAATTTTTAAAAATACAGTACCGTAAAAAAAAAAATACAATGAACACAATGTAGTAAATTTGTATTTCTTTAATGCAAACAGGGTTTAAAAATAATGATTGTATTAGTATTAAATCTTAAAATGTAAAAAAAGAAAATTACCACCTCTGCCTCACCTCCAATCTAATGATCATTCTCCCAATCTGCGGTAGCTCAAACATATCTACACCTATCTACACAATAATAACAACCCAATCAATCAATTACTATTATTGAATCTACTTCCCCTAGCTATTCAATCCTTTCCTACAATTAGGTAAGTGAGAGTAGATTTTGTTAAAAAATAATTTGTTAAAAAATAAGCATAATATTTAGTCTTACTCAGCATTTTAAATTATATTAAATTTATATTAAACACTCGTTAACTTTAATTGTTTATAAACATATTTAAAAGTATTTTAATATTTTTGTGTGATTAAAAAAGATTTGAATCATCTGCAAATAGAATTAAATTTATAAGATTTGATAATAAATAAAAATCATTTATGCACAATAGAAACAAAAATGGTCCTAAAAAAGAGCCCTGGGGAACTTCACAAGCTATTGAGTGTTTACCTGTTACTTTTGAATTATAGCATATGAATTGTTTTCTGTTAGTTAGGGAGTCTTTAATCCAAAGTAAATTTTTTTTTAATACCATAGTTTTCAAGTTTAATTAGCAGTATATCATGGTTTACTGTATCAAAGGCTTTAAGACAGATCAATGAAAACTCCTAATGTAATATAATCATTGTTTAGAGCGTCAGAAATCTTGTTGACTAGCTAGACTGCTGTGTGTTCAGTTAAATGCATTTTTTTTGAAACGGAATTGTTTTTCATATAGCATATTGTTCTTTGTTAGATAATCGTAGAGTCTATTGTGCATTATACGCTTAAATATTTTTGAGAAATAAGGCAAAATAGAAATTGCTCTGTAACAATATATTGGAGTAATCTCCTCCTTTATAAATAGGTGTTATTCAAGCACTTTTCAAATTTTCAAGAACAATACCCAATTTTAAAGGATGTTTAAAGATAAAAATAACGATGGTTCAATGATATTGAATGCAGATTTTATAACATTGATGCTATTTTATGAAAACCTGCACTTTTATTTTTTTTTTAAGGCTATTAAAATAAAATAGTTTAAATTCTTTTAGGTTTCTAGAAGCTTATGAAAAGATTTTCTTTTTGGGAGAAGATGTTGATGACAGATTGTTTCCTGATAAATATAAATGGCAAAACTCAAGAAGCAAAGGTAAGTTTCGTTGTTTCTTTTGTATTATTCAATATTACGTTTTTATTTTTTTGGTTTGATAAAACTGATAAAAACTATGAATGTAGTAATAATAAAGTAATTTATATAAAAATAGTATTTACTTAAATGATTTTTTATTTAAACTCTTAAATTATTATTGTGCATTTTTTCATATAAATATTTTGTAAGTTTTTAATTCTATAAGAGTATGATTGTGAAGTATTATCTCTGTCAGAAGTTGTCTTTTGTGAAACTCTTGAAATCAAAAATAATAAGAAAATTGAAACTCTCATCTTAGTTTTAGTGCATTTGTTTTTTGATATTCACATTTTTGATATTCACATTTTTGATATTCACATTATTTTGATCACCTGTATTAATCTTGTCACAATTCATATGATCTGACAGTATGAAAATGTTGTAACAATCCACATGATCTGATAGTTGGAAAATAAAAACATCAAATTTGTTGCACTTTCCCTAAATGCAACACAGTGCAGCAGAAATAAGAAAAAAAATGTACCAACTAATTTAAATGATAAACCACATTATTAAAAAATTTTATGAACTGAAAAGTTTGGCTATGAGAGTGTGAAGACTTTTAGATAACAGGTTTTACCTGCTTAATTGGCAATAGGTGTGTCAAAGATTGACTTACTGAAATTTATTTATAATAAATAGTAATATTTATAATAAATATTGCACTGAAAATATTGGTTTTCTATGTGATTTCTTTATGCTGCATATAATTTAAATAACTGGTGACAATTTTTTTTATCAATAGATGTTACTAACATCTATCATCTAGCACCAAGCATTAGTAAGAAGTTAAAAAACTTACTGGTTTAAAAAAATGAAATTTAAATTTTAGTTTTTTTTTACTTTTTTTTTATACCCCTTTGTTAACTCTTAAAACTCCAAAACACCAACCCTGATAAATAAGGCTGATGTGTAACAAAACAAATTTATTTTTAAAAATTTTTTAAATGCTCAGAAAAGAAGTAGAAAAATTGAAAAATAGATCATAGTAAAAAAAGAATGCCTAATAGAAAACACTTATAAAGTAAAAAACTTTTAGAAAAAAAAAACTAAAATTTCCAAACTTGTTTACTCAAGTCATACAAATCTAACTTGATCAATTGTTAAATGAATGTGTGAAACAAGGGAAAGATAATTTTTTTTTAATATAACAAAAGAAAATGGTAAATGCTTAAATATAGATGGTTATGATATTCAATCTAAAAGGACAAAAGTTTAGCAAGGTTTAGCAACAGTAACATTAAATTCAATATTTTCATCAGAAAATAAATTAGATGCCCAATTAAAACGCAAATATCAAGAAATGATTATTGGTACCAAAAGTATATACCCAAATAATACCAAAAAACATTAGGGAATTAACCAAAATTTCAAAGTTTTATTATTTTGGACACGTGGGATATGTTTATTATATTTTCGAACAAAAAAAGATTTTGGTTTAAAATATTCCCAGCAATGTTTTTTTATTTTTAATAATTAGATAATGAAGCCATTCTGTAAATAGAAAATTAAAATGTTTTGTATTAACTTGGTTGTTATTGTTAAGATTACTGTTTTTTTATTTCTGTTTTCTTAATTTATTACTGTTGTTACTGTGTTGCTAAGATATTGTCATAACTGTTATAAAGTTAAATATTATTGCTATTTTAAACAATGTAAATGAAAATTGCATTCCATTTTATTTCTAAATAAGTTGTAATTAATTAGGAACAAAGCAATAGCTGAATTTGCCTACTTTCCACTTAATTACCCCTTTAATTTTTTATGAATTTCATTTATAATTAAAGTTATTTTATTGTCTAAAATTTTCCATTGAAAAATTTTTTACAGTGGACAATTTTCTAAATGATGGTTAATATCTATTTATATATATAATTTATATAAGTAAATGGTTCATGCCCTGTTTTAGTAAATGTAAAACTGTGCATCATAAAACTCTAAAAAGCTGTTTCATTGTTTATCCTTTTTTTATACTTTTTAACTTATTTTATACTTTTTTTTTATTTATTTTACATTTATACAATTAAGTGTTATAATTGTTTCTTTTTAATTTTTATTTTTGTTTTTAAGCAGTGTTCAAACATTCTAAACCAGGTGTCTTAGGAGGTAGATTACAATTTATATGTTATGATTTTCTTATTTTTATTTTTGTCTTATGGTTTTCTTATTTTTTTGTAAATACTTAAGTAATCTAATAAAAGTTAACTATTTGTAAAGTTGATCTAATAGTATAAAATAAATGCAGATGTAGTTCATTTTTTACAACAATGTATTTTCATTCAACTGTCCAAATTAGTATCTAGAACAGGCTTGGTCAGGAAGTGGGAGCAGTCGCTCTTGATTGCTGACCACGGCAATAATATTTTGTTGCGAAAAGCTGGCCAGATTTTTTAGTCGTTTTGAGAACATTTCAAAAAGCAAAAAAAAATTGCCAATAACCAGAAACTTCTTATATATTTGTTATATAATTAGTTTTATTAACTTTAATGATTATTAATAACTTCATTAAAAACGCAAATATTTTTGTAAGTCTTTGTTTACAAATTAAATCATAAAAATTGCTTTAAAAGATACATTACGATTAAAAACAGATACACAAAATTACATTTACGTAAAGAATACATACTTTTTAAATAATAAATAAGAATATACTAATAAAATCTATAATTTATAATAAACTTTCAAAATTTTGACAATTTAAATATATATTTAAAACATTTATTTTTGTAAACACAGTGGTGTACACTGGACTTTTAGATGTTTGAGTTTTGACACATTTCGAAAACTCCAAATCTTTGTATGTTCATGCTTATGTCAAATGAGAATGTTTTGCAAAAAATTGTGGTGATTGGAGCTTGGGGACAAAAAAAACCCAATTTTCGGGCCCACCCAGCCCTTAACGTGGGAGCAACAAGTTGATAAAATAATTTTTTAGTATTTTCATCTAAGTTTATAATCATCAACAAATTTCATATTTCATCCAATAATTTCTTATTTTTCGAAAATTATGACCATATAAAGTTTTAACCCCCCTCAATTTGAGGGGGCTGTATACTTTGTAGGGTCATAAAAACTAAAAACTAAGAGGTTATTGCATGAAATTTGAAATTCGTTGATGAATATAAACTTAGATAAAATACTAAAGAAATTATTTTATCAACTTGTTGCTCCCACGTTAAGGGCTGGGTGGGCCCGAAAACTGGGGTTTTTTGTCCCCAAGCTCCAATCACCACAATTTTTTGCAAAACATTCTCATTTGACATAAGTATGAACATACAGAAGTTTGGAGTTTGCAAAATGTGTGTAAGTGTCAAAACTCAAACATCTAAAAATCCAGTGTACATCACTGAAACAAATAATAATATTTTATAAGATTTACGACTTTGCAGATGTGGCTCTGAGAATGAGCCATAGTATTGATAATATATTCTTAAAACAATTTATGTTAGAAATCTCAAAACAAATCGCGTATAATACAAATTCTAAAAAATTTCAATAGAATACTCAAAAACTTTATTTTGCTTAGTCAGCGTATATTTTGAACCAATAGAATTAGTTTGTTCGTTGAATGGCGGGTTTTTAGTGTTCGCAAATGTTCTTTATATTCTTCCGCACCAAGATGTTTTGAGGCTACTTAAGTTTTTTATGTTTCCATGTATATCCGTAAAACAAAAATTTTTTGTTTTGTACATAGACTTAAATGTGCTAAAAAACCTAGCCAGTTTTTCGCAACTAAATATAATTTCTGTGGTCAGTATTCGAGAGTGATCGCTCCCGCTTCCCGACCAAGCCTGCTAGAACCTCCCCTTGCCTTTTTTTTCTTTTTTGTAAACCATGTTTTAAAGCTGTAGTTGTAAGAACTGTTCTGATTAAATAAACTAGAGATGTCCATACATTTTATAAGCTAAAACACAGATGTGTATTTATCACCTTGTATACTCATTAAATTTTGGTTGTTATATTTTATGAATTTTATAGTCATGCAGTACAATAAAACATTATGGAGATTATTATAAACATTACAAAAAACATTATATTAATACAATTTCTTTATTTTATGGAATTAAGACTCAAACTAATATTTTTAAAATTTAAGCGTTATTTTATGCAGAATTTCGTTCACATAACTTTGACCGTATTATGTTGTCTCTTCTTTCTGGACTCGAAAATGAAGTAGATTTTGCATTGAATATCTGCACACTTTTATCGAATGTTTCTAATTCAATATTTAATCTCGGAAAGGTATTTTTCAAATGTTTATAAAGATTTTTTATTTAAAAGTTTTTACTTTTTGTCAGAGCAAAATCTTATGTTTAATATTTTACTTAGCATGATCTATAATTATTTAAGAACTGTTCCATCCTGGATTTGATTTTGGCTCACAGTGGATTTTGGTGTACAGGTATTTAGTTTCCTTTTATGATTTAATGTTCTTGTCTTGAACTATATAGAAAATAATCTTATGATAGCTGAAAAAATTTATATTAATTATGAAAAAAAAAATTTTACCAATTAAAATTAATTTCAAATAAGTAAATTTTATTGCTTGGTTATGTTTTTGTTTAACTATTTTTTTGTTGTTGTTGTATTAATTGCAATAATTGTAATTTTATAATAATAAGAATTAGTATTTTAAAATGAATCAAATATTATTTTGATATGAATTTAATTTCAATTTAAAATATATATTTTTTAAATTGAATTTAATTTAGAATTAAAAAAACATTATTTTTTGTCTAAAGTTTTTATATCTTTTTCTAATTCTTAATTCTGTTCTGATCTCTTTTTTTCATTGAAGGAGTTTTAGTTTCTTGCCTGGGCAATGGTACATTGATTCCTCCTTATTCAGCTTTCTGTGAATATTGATCCGACATAACACTAGCTTTATTGATAAGGCCAAATATAGTCAGTATTTTATGTAGCCTTTGTCTGTTTTTCCAGGCATCAGATTTCTGTAATTTTTTTGGAGAAAGTTTGTTTAGGATCTTTCATTTATAACTCCTCATAGATATTATTTGAAAATAATTATCCAATTATATAAAAAATTAGGTTTCCAATTATTAGATTAGTTAAACTAAGCCTCTTTTTACTTGCCTCTTTGTGCTTGCTATTTATTTACTGATTCCATTTTCTACTTCTTTAAATCTTTTATTTGGCTTATTATAGAATCCTGTTGACATATGTTGGCTCTTTCTCCGAACGATGCCCTTTCTTTTTTAGATAACATCAAAAAAAATGATTGTAAATACAATTGGGATTCTTTGGAATTCGCTTACTTCATCTTGCTTTCCTGATTCATATAATTTGCAATCTTTTAAGTCGTCTGTCAATCGTTATCTTGCTCTAAAATCTTTATCTTTTCTCTTTCAGTAACTTCCAACTCTAATTAGTGGTTGTTTCTCTAGAATCATCTAGTACATTACCATTTGTAAATATAGGAAGATCTAGATTATTGCAATAACAATTAGCTGAAAAAATTTGAGTTTTATCTGAGTTAAAGTTTGCCAGCCACTGAGAGCCCCATGCTGTAGAAGCGAGATCCTTTTCAAGCTCAAATGCCCCCTCCAAGCAATCAGAGAGTGTTGGCTTCTCATCAAGACAAGAATAAATGGTAGTATCAGCAAACAGTCCACCTTAGATGTGAGAACTTCTGGGAGATTGTTTATTGTATGTAAATTTTAAAAAGTGTTAAGAGCAATAGCCTTAGCCTCTCCTCAACTATCTAATGTACAATAAAACCTATCAGTTATTACCCTTAACAAATCAGCAGTAGATCAAAATCCATATTAATGATCAAAAAATTATATTTTATTATAGTTATTATATTCAAGATAAGAGATTAAGTGTTTGTTAATTAAAGACTCAAAAACATTGCTTATGATTGTAAGAAGAATAATGGGACGGTAGTTAGACGAATCAGATCGCTCTTTAGAATTTTTGAAAATAGAGATAACTGGTGCTGCTTTCCAGCCGGTTGGAAATTAAGACTCTGATAAGTACTTGTTAAATAGTTTTGAAACTATAAAGGACAGTTCCAGAAAACACTTCTGCAAGACTATAACAGGTATGTTGTCCAGAACACAAGCTGTAGAAGAGTCTAAGCAGGAAATCACTTTAGATACAGAAGCTGGAGTGATGTGAAGGTCAGGCAACGGATTAATCTGTTAGTTGGCTATACCAGGTAGAACACGACTAGTGAAATCAAGAGATGATATTGATGAAAAGTTCTTAGCAAACAATTTAGCTTTGTCTTTAGGTAAGGTGACAAAATCTGAACCATACAAGATAAGTGGAATAGCAGATTTACCCTTGTTATAGATACTGTTATAGATTCTATAGAAGCCAAAATTTTGAGATGAAACATGAGGTTTCGTGAACTGAGAATAACAGGCTTTGGCGTTAGACAAAACTTTTTTACAATGGTTTCTAGCAGTAGTAAACAGGTGTCTTTTCTGGAGAATTGCTTTGCTGATAGATATCCAAGTAGTTTTTATGACTTAAAATTGCAGCAGCACAACGAGAGGAAAACCATGGAGAAAAGTGAGGCTTATCATAGAATTATCAAGACGGAACAAATAATTTCGTGTCAGCCTGGATCCATAAAGTTACATAAGAAGGACATTTGTCAGCAGGAAGATGAAAGATTTCTACCCAAGGGCCTTAAAATGTATTAAATAGTAGCAATAATAATGAAATTAAGCTTTGAATTATAAAAGAATGCATTAAAACTTTAATTGTTATAGGAAATATAAATAACCTCAAATTAATCTAAAAACACTAGATTGAGGCGCACAAAGTCATTAACTTTTTATATTATTTAGTCCGTCTATTTGAAATAAATAGTAAAAAAAAAATAATTGTGGTCCTAATTTTATGGCCAAGTACTATATTTGTTAAAGTTGCATCATCCAGAAATTAAAATGTAGTAAAGAAACAATATTTATTTTTATTTTGTACAGTTCTATATGGTTTTATGGCTCTGTTATATAAGTGGCCATAGTTTTTCATATAATTTTTTTTAGATAATTCATTTGATAAAGAAATGTGCACGGAGTGGTTTTCTAGAAGTGGAAAGAATTTTTTAAAGGTGATTTTAAAGCTGTATTTATCATTTTCATTTCACTTCATTTTTCATACTACATAAGAAAGTTGTTAAAATCTTAATATATTGTTGTATTAACAAACAAAACCAAGCTAAATAATAGCAACTTGACTGGAATACCTTAAGGCAACCCATTAAGAAATAAGTTATCATAAAGGACCACTTTTTTGTTTATTACTTATTAAGAAAACTATTACTTGATAGGCTTTATTTATTACTTCATTATTTTTAAGTTTTTTTTTTTTTTTTTTTTTAGTTTTGGAATGATTCAATTAGTGATCCTTTTTTAAAAAAAGTATACAATGAGTTATACAATACAGGTAAACTTTATTTAATATTCATCTAAGCTGTACTTTTTCAAAAATTCATTAATAATGTGTTATTACAAAGTATTTAGAAATCCCATTTTTTAGAACAAGACAAAGTGTATGATGAACACTCTTTTTTTTCTTGTGGTACATCCCAAGAGAAATCATCGGAATTCGCAAGAGTTTTACAGGTGTTTTACTTGTTTTATTTTGTGTGTAATTTTTTAATTTTCTTAAGTAGCCAAGAATATGTTTTAAGTTTATTTTGTATATATAATATATCGGGGCTTATGGTAAAGCAGGGACAATCGCTCAATCATAAACAGCACTTTTTAACCTTGTAGGAAAAGTTTAAAATTATGTTTGTTTCAAAAATAAGGGTAGGAAAAAATCTATATCAAATGGAGGTCATTGATTCATGTTGACTCTAATCCCAACAACTGTACAATGACAGTAACATAACTAATTTTTAACCAACTATTTGGTGATAAAATAAACAATAACGACGTGGCTGATGAATGGGCTTCATTTAGTTATTAAAATGAGAAAAATGACAAGCTCCAAACAACAATAAAGTACACTACTATATAACTTATAATGAGTTTTATAATTATTAAGAATTTAAATTATCAATATATTTTTTAAGAAAGAAAAAAAAAGAATAATTTATGCAATAATATAATAATCTAAGAGTTGTATTAATTTTTTAATGATGAAAAATTTTGATATTAAATATGAATTTATTTTAAACTAAATTTAGCATAATAGCAACAACAACAACAACAAAAAAACAATAAAATAAAGAATTTAATTAAGGAAAGTAATTACGAAAATAACTAAGTAAAGAAATATTAAAACTTAAAACTATTCAAGTTAACACAGTAATATTGTTAAGTTAACAGTTTAAAGCAATAATGAATAAAAAATTTATTAAAAATTTATTCTTCAAAGCAAGCTCAATAAGAAATGATAGCAAAAATAAACTTAATCTACACAAATAATAAATAAGAAGTTGGGAACTCAAAATATCATTTTTGTTGAATGGATGGGCAGTTTTTTATAGTGCTGCTAGTACTGCTTTATAACATTTATCAGTTAAAGAACACTGTATATCAGATTAAAAAAACATTTTACAAGCATGATTGCCACTGATTTGCAATGCTAAATATTGATTTAGGGATATTATGAAAAGCATGTAAAATTAAGACTTGTTTTGTTAAATTAAATACAATGGTTAAATAACTTTTTGATGATATCTAAAAAAGTTTTAAATTAATTAAATTTGATTATTTACAAAGTTTCAAAAAAAAAAAATTTTTTTTTTTAGATCTCAATGATTCTGTATAATTTTTCATTTGAGCAAATAAACGCAATGTTTTTAGCACAACACTCAACAGCTGAAAAGTTTGTTATTTTAATATTTTTTTTAATTTTTTGATTTAATTGTTTGATTTTTATTTCTATTTTTTGTTTATTTAGATTTTTATTGTTTTCAAGTTTTTCATCTTACAACAATATCCAAAATAACAGTTTGGATACTCTTGACAATATATCAGAATATGTAAGTGTTTTTTTTTTTTCTAATTTTAAGTTATATTTTGAGTTATATTTAAATATTGATTCATATTTTGTTAAAATTAGATAACATTAAAAGCTAATGAAGATTTTTTCACCCAGCAAATCCTAAGAATTATTCATTTGTTTTGTACTTCAAAAGATAGATTTCGAAGAATACGAGGTTTATAGTTTTTTTCATTTTATTTGTATATAAATAAAATTGAATTTCAAATCAATATTAATTTCATATAAATTTCATATATTTTGACATTAAAAAATTATTTCTGATAATTGTTTTTAGCAAAATCCATATTGGCTAAACTGGCAAGGAGTGAAAATGCAAAAATCATTGCAGAAAATTTATCTCAAGAAATATATAAAATTTTATTGGATACAATTTCTTTTCCAGATATATCAGTATGTTTGGTGCCATTAATTTTATTATAGATATCATAAAATGTGTTACACAATAACATAACATTGTTTCAAATAACACAACATTCCACACATTATTGCTCTATTTGTGACTATTACAGTTATCTAAAAAGTTTAAGAATTTCTGTTTGTTTCAACAACAAAATTATTATAACTACATTTCAAAGAAGCATTCATTGGAAAGCTTATTGACTAGTTCAACAAATTAAGTTTTGATTTTGTCAAGCTACTTATTTTTTCAAAGTTTTGAAAAAATTATTTTAGCTATGAGTTATGTTTCTGACATTAGCCAACAACCATCAATCATTCTTTTGAACAAAATTATTGCTAGTTGGATGCCTCTCTTGACATATTTTTATACAGGCTAGAGGGGGCAATAATATCAGCCTTTATTTCCGATTGTATTATTTCTTTTTCTTTCTTTCTTTTTTTTTGTATCTAAAATTCATATAAACAATTGTTTTAGCTTATCATATAACATAATACTTTGTGATTTATAGAAGTCTTTTTTTTTTTTTAATTTTAGCTTGTTCTTGCAAGTATGGATGCATTGTTTTCTCTCTCTGGGTTATGTGAAAATACTGCTACTTCAATTTGCTTAGTTCAAGGAAGTATGAATTTGCTTACAAGCTTACTTACACTTCAAGCTGAATCTTTTGGAAACCATGCAATTGAAGGTTTTAGAATTGTTGAAAACAAGTGCTCTATGTTTACACCTAAAAATCAAGCTTTTTTACAATCACAATATGAAAGATCTTATATAGAAAATAATCGTGCATGTCAACCTGGAATGATTGCACCGCCATCTAAAATGCATACTCCTCATTTAGGAAACATGCATTTACCAATGCCAAGTAATTGTCTTTAAATTTTTAAAATAAAATTTTTTAACTAAAAGTTTTTATATATATAAAAATTATTTTTTCTTTATGTTTAAAAAAAAAAATGTAAAATAACATTCTATGTAAAAAAAAAAAAGTTTAAAGTTTTTCTTATTTTTCTGAGAAAAATAAGAAAAACTAAAATTTTCTGTGAAATTTGGAAACATTAAAGAAACCCATTTTTTTGCGCAAGAGTATACATTGAAATGATATAATCTATTTCTATATTTTACTTTTTTTTTACAAGTTAAAATTGGGACAAATAGGAGTGGTTTTGGGGACAATAATCGAAAAAGCTCAAAAATGCGCTAATGGGCATCATACCAATAAATGTACTAATAATACTTTTTATTTAATAAAAAATGAAAAACCCCACTTTAATTTTCAAAAATTTGAAAAAAATTTGAAATTGCTCTCAAAAGATAATTTTACAAAAAATTAAACTTTTACAAAACATTAAATTAATTGAATTTGAGTTTAAATTTTTTTTTTTATCAATGGATTTTGGTTGGGGTATATCAACATGTAAAAAATCTATTGAAACAAGAAATTGCTAAAAATACTTTTTTACATAGAATGTCAATTATTTAAGAGAAATCTAGGAGCAAGTTGATTTGCTCTAGATTTGGTTGAAGAAAAGGTTTAAACATGGAAATCTTTTGATATTTGTGCAGGGTTACCACCTTACCATGTATTATCTCAACCAACTCACCATGTATTATCTCAACCAACTCAGATATATCCTAATCTGCAACCAATTCAGACATATCCGAATCAGCAACCAATTCAGACATATCCGAATCAGCAACCAATTAATACATATCCGAATCAGCAACCAATTCAGGCATATCCGAATCAGCAACCGATTCAGACATATCCGAATCAGCAACCAACCCAGGCATATCCAAATCAGCAACCAATTCAGGCATATCCAAATCAGCAATCAATTCAGGCATATCCAAATCTGCAATTAAGCAAAGCTGATGCTTCAAATGTAAGTTATGGTAATCAAACAAACGAGTTTGTTGAGGTTGATTCTGAAACGTATGCTGTGCATTGGATGAGTGCATATTATGAGCCTCATCCTTCAAACAATATACTTTTGTCAACCATTTATGCTGACTATGAGCAAGTTAGTAAAAGTAGTTCCAGAAAAGGTATTTTGTCATTTGAGGCATTTCAAGTTATCCTGAGGTAAGAAATTTGTTTACTATTTAATGAAAACTCATTAAAAACCTTAAGAAATTAAGTGTGTGTGTAAAATTAAACTGCCTGTTGAAGGAGAAACTAGTAGAAGTCAAGTTGAGTGTTTTTTTACTAATTTATATATATATATATATATATATATATATATATATATATATATATATATATATATATATATATATATATATATATATATATATATATATATATGTATATATATATATATATATATATATATATATATATATATATATATATATATATATATATGTATATATATATATGTGTATATATATATATATATATATATATATATATATATATATATATATATATATTTACATATACATACATACATATACAGCCTTCGGAATTAGGGTTGGCATTTAGCAATGCCGACCTGAAAGTGTTTCTATGTTTTGTGGTTAGACCTTTGTATCAAATGATTTTTGCTGACCTAATGCCGACCTCAAAAAGTATGAGTTTGGCAAATTATTACCAACCTCATTTTTCCTAATTCCGAAGGTTGTATATATATATACAAAAAAAACAGTTTCTCTCAATACTCGTGATTTTATTATTTCAGAAATTTTTGCTGGGTTATATAGATACCAGCATTATCGGTTTTTTAATAACAATATTTAACAAGCTGATAATGCTGGTATCTATATAACCCAGCAAAAATTTCTGCGAAATTTTCTTGGTGTTTTTGAAATAATATATAAATAGTCTCATTGAGATTTTTAAACTCAATAAGTTATCTGATTTTTTAATTATTTCTAAGAAAAAATTTTGTGTCTTAGATATAACATACTAAAACATGCAATATAAAAACCTTATCAAATAAAATAATCACTAAAAAAAACTATATCAAAACTGGAGCCACTAAAGTAAACATTCAAACTAGTATTTAAAATATCTCTTCCCCCCCCCCTATTTAAAATATCTCTTTCCTCCTCTCCCCCCTATGTGTTCATGAAAGTAACTTCAAAGTTACTTTCATCACTGAAACTTACTTATTTTCCATTTTCTAATTTTTTTCAATTTGTAATCAACAAGGGTTTTTTAACAGCTGCATAGATGCCAATGTTTTTCCTAAGTAAAATGTTTATTAACTCAAATTTCTAACTCAAATTCTTGTTTTAACCAATTGTGTATATTGTGTATAAGGTTCAAAACCTTTTAAAATATAATTTTATGGCTGAAAAATGAGCACATACTAATAAATTGTTGTTTATTGAAACTGGTAATGATTTGAATAAGAGATTAGGTTTCTCTTTAGGAATTCTAAGAATATAGTATGTATGATAACACACATGACCCTGTATCTAATATGTTACATTTACTTATTATATCTGAGAACTTTTTTTTGCGCAAGCCACGCTAAACTTAAATAGTTTTATGAGTGTTTTGTAAAAAGTATTAGTTAGAATTAAAAAAATTTCCATAAAAATTCTCTAAACCACCCTTGTTTATTAAATCAGGACTAAAATCCCCCCTCCCTCCTCCTTTTTTTCCGACTGCCCCCTTACCCCTCCCCCTCCTTCCTTTCTCCTTGTACTAAAGACTTGAGAGTAATCAAATCACACTAAATTACTAATACTGTATTTTCTTTATAATCTTAAAATGTTGCTTTATTAAAATGTTGGTTAAGAAATTAAAATTTTTGTTTAGGGCTATTCTTCCACCACATCTTGCACAGATAATTTTAATTGATTCCAATGGCACTTTAGCTGTGTCTGGTATACAGAGGAAAGCAATTCCATTGTATGTACAGAGTGTAATTCCAGCAAAAAAATGTGGAGAAGAAGTAAAGATTTCAAATGATATTTCACAAAATGAAACTTTTAATAAACTACCTAATACTCATGAAAGTGAAAATGTTTCAAGTCAGTTAAATGGAAATAGTGAAAAGCCTGTATCTTGTGATAGAAGGCTAAAGACAGGTGAAGGTTATTATGAGGTAATTGAAAAACTAAAAATTGAATCTGAAGGTCATTTTATGCAGTTTCACTTGCATCGTCAGCATTTACAAGCTCTGCAAGTGCAAATTCATCAGTTGATGCAAACAGCAGATGTTGAGCATGTTCCTGCCACAGTTATTAAAGATATTCAAATAAGAGCACAAAACCATCAACAACAGATGCAGAATCATTATCAAAAATTGCTTCAGCTAACAAACCTGACAGAGCAAGTTCACAGTAAGATGATTCAACAAGATGATGTACCTAAAGGAAGCATAAAAACAAATGATAGCTTTAAAACTCCAGATAAAGAAGTCACACAAGAGAGTTTCTTATTTGAAAGAAATGGGAAACTGGAAAATGAATTTAATAATTCATCAAATCATTTACTTACTGATCAAAAGTCTTTAAATAAATTTTCATCAATTAAACCTGATCAAGTTACTTCTACAAATCCTCATACATTAATTCCTCATTTACCCTTTAAAAACGAAAGTACTGTTCAACCTCCCATAGTTTCAGGTGATCTTATTAGGAAAAAATTATCTCCTAGTAGTTCACCTCTTAGTTCCCCAAAAAAAACTAAAAGTAAAAGAGGATTTAACAATCCATTAGATTATCCTGGGTTTCCCCAAATTTCTCAAAACAACAGGTTAGCACGAACTTCACCGCAAAAAAAAGTAAGCCTACTGACAAATGGAATATCTCTAAATGGAGCTACACATCCTGTTACACCAGTTCCAGCTGTACATTCAAGTACACCAGTTGTGCAACCTTTTTCTACAAAATTTTTAAATATTTCTTCTCAAGAGAAAAATCACCTTCCTTTTCAAAATAATACAGAATCTTTAGTAAATTTTCAAACCTCTTCAAGTATTATGAATCATTTTAGTAAAACATTTACAGAAAGCAAGTTAAATGGCGTTGATGTAAATTATCAGACAAACTGTTTTAATTCAAAATTTAAAAAACAACTAGATAATAATTCAGTAGAAACTCCAAACCCTGTTTGTTCAATTCCAAATTCAACCTCAGCTCCTTCATTTTCACCTCTAATTAAAGTAAATCACTTAAATGGACATCAAATAAATGGAAATTTTGAAAGAAAAATTGAAATACAAAAGGAAAATATTAAATCAAGTTTAAGTGAAGAAAGCATTAATGATGACTTTGTAGACTTTGAAAGAATTTGTGATTCAGATCATATTTCCAGTGAAGCTGTTTTGCAAAAACAAAAAAAAACTTTGAATGAAAAAGAAATAAATAATATTGAAAGTCCTAAAGGAAATTATCTAATAGAAAATAGTCATGAAAAAACAGTTAATTCAGAAAACCATAATGATGAAAAGGTTGATCAACTTCAAAATTGTTTAAAACCCGATCACAAAGAGTTGAACTTTTTAAACTCTAAATTAATGCTTGGCAAAATGGCATCCCAAATTAAACCAAACGGAATAGAAACAAAAAATAATAGTTTCAAGGATGTTACAGTTAATGATTTTGAATCACCTGTCACAGTTATAAATAGGGAAGATTCAAGAGTAAATTGTTTAAGACTTCCACTTGGCAATTCAAATTTTATTAGGACTTCAGATTTACATACAAACAATCGTACCCCTAAAATTTCGCCCCAAACATCAATTATTTCAAATGATTTTGTTCAAAAATCTGATAATGAAAGAAACCATATAAATTTATGTAACTTAACAACGCTACAAACTTGTCGTAATATGTTTAAATGCAAATGGAATGACTGTTATTTGTAAGTTTTCTTTTCTATATATATATTTTTTTTAACTTTTGATGATATACAATTAATTATTTGTATTACTTGTTGTGTCTGATTGTTTAATTTTATTATTCGTGTCTGATTGGTTATTTTTATTATTTGTTGTGTCTGATTGTTTTATTTTATTATTTGTTGTGTCTGATTGTTTTATTTTATTGTTTGTATAATTAAATCTTATTTTAGTGCTTTTCATTGTGAATCCGAACTATTTGAGCATATGGTTATGAATCATGCTCCTACCGATGGCAAAATGCAGCATTGTAATGTGGCTGGCTGCTTTTCTTCACAAATGTTGCGTGGCAGTTTTATTTTACACCTTCAAGATGTACATTTTAGTTCTAATACATTTCTTAACTATTGGAAAGTAGAGGTGAGATAATATATTCTAAATTGAATTTATTTCAATTCTTAATTAAGTATTAATTTTTTTTTTAATATTGTATGGTTTAGCATGAAAATGAATCACCAGTTACTAGAAGCCTTCGTTTTACAGCAGCTCTTATTTTAAGGAATATTGCAAAGAACTCTCCATGTGCTAAATCGTAAGTGTGTAAATTGTTTATGTGATTACCAAACATATAGATAAGAATAACTGTGAGTTTTGCTGTGAATATTTAGGTAATCAATATGTATAACCCTAAAAAATTGTTGTAAAACTAGCACAAGGAAGTTTTAGATTACTTTTCACTTAAAATAACATTAAGTTTGAAAAAAAAATTTTCTTGCATAAATATTTCTGGTAATAATCTTTCGTCAAAAGGGGAAAAAAAACTGAAAAATTTTTTCGTAAATCTTTCGTAAACTTTTTTCGTGCATTTATATGTTCATAAGTAATTTCTAATTTTTTTTTTTAATCGAAAAACAATTTTTATTTTCAATTGACAACTTTTGTACTAAATTGAAAAATTACCACAACTGCAAGTAAAACTTTGACTGTATTTTCAACTTAAACTGTCGAAAACATTTTGACATTTCAAAATTTTTTGACTATTGATTATTTATTGTTTTTTAGTCTTCTTCTACGTCACGAAGATTTAATTGCCAGAGTAGCCATGTCGACATCAGAAGCAGCATCAGCTGCTGCCGAATGTCTCTTTGAACTCTACAATAACGCCAAAACAGAAACTAGTGATACCGAAGACTTGGATTATTTATGAATAGTTCTTGTAAATGTTTGTATTTTTTCGTATATATTTTTCGTGTATATATTACATAACTTATTTTAGTTTTTAAAACAAGAATACTTAAGAACTTATTTTTTAAGTTATTAAGCGTTTTGTTATTTATTCTATGTTTTATATGGAATAAAGAAAAGTGAGTTTTTTTTTTTTTTTTTTTTTTTCGTTTTATTTTATTTTTATATAAAAGTTCGAGATTTCTGAGAGTTTTTATTAGCAAACAAAATTATTTACGAAACTATTTTAAATGGATAAAAGCGAAAATATTTTAGCAACATATTTAAAAAAATTTCTTATGCCTATTTCCTGTTTGAACAATAAGTTGTGAATTTGAACTTTTCCGTGTGACAGAACTCCCTATTTAACCATACTATGTAGATATCAGAATTCAAATAATGACCGAAATAAGGCATGCTATCGGAAAAATCTGCCCATCTTTCTTGATCAAAAAAGGATGTAAGAAAGCTTAAATGTATTTAAATCAATATATTTCTGAAAAATTAAGACTGTAAAGATAACATATTAATAGGGAAAAAACAAAAGAAAAATTAAGTTTTAGAGAAAATTCTGATTTTCTTATTGTTGCCTCCCATAAGTTTATGGACAGAGTGATTTTTGTAAGTTTTAGCAGCGTAATCCCATTTTTTCTTCAAATCTGTAGCTGATTTTACTGTTTTTCCACTTAATTTCAATTTCTTTTTTGTGATGGCCCAATATTTTTCAACAGGACGTAATTCGGGGCAGTTTGGAGGATTCATCTTTTTTGGAACCAACATCACTCCATTATTGTAAAACTTTTGAGCATCTTTTGAGTAATGTATTGTGGCTAAATCAGGTCAAAGCAATATTGAAGTACTTCTATGAGCTTTAATTAGTCGTTTTATACGAGAAAGACAACATTTCACGTATTCCGAAGATTTCATTGTGCCCACACAAACATGAATTGGCGATTTTTTGCCGCAAGAGCAAAGTGCCTGCCAAATCATCAATTTTTTCGAAAAATTTATCAGTCATTACATACTTGTATTTATCACTCACATTTTCTCTTATTTTAGAAGCATAGTAGTACTGCCCAGGAATTTGTTTAAAATCCATTTTAACATAAGTTTCGTCATCCATCAAAATGCATCCATTATGTTTTGTTAACAAGTTGTCATACAACTTTCGAGCTCGACTCTTCGCGGTTGAATTTTGTTTATCGTTGCGATTTGGCATTTTAACTACTTTAAAACTTAGATATCCAAGTCTCTGTCTCCATTAATGTAAAAAAAAAATGGAAACCTTCAGTTTTTCGCTCGAAATCTATCAGACCAATCAGGATGTTCTTCCAATAAAGTCTCCAACCGTTCGAGAGCTCTAGGATTTGCTGTGCGTTTTTTTCAACCACTTCCTTGTTTTCTCTGAATAGTTTTCTGTTCTGTAAACCGTTTTTTATAACCGTATCTACAGTTCTTGATATTTTTAATGATTTCGCCAACTTTCTATTCGATAAAGTTGGATTTTCTAAGTGTTTGTTCACAATCAAAAATCTTTGTTTAGTTTGCTCGGTTGACGTTTTGAAAGTAAATCATTTTTAATTATTTTTTTCTGCCAAAATGTTCTATTATACAAACACTACCACGCACAAAAAAGCTGTGCAACGATTAACAAATGTAAACCAAAAAAAAAAAGTCTATAGAATCCTTAAGAATTTCGAATAAAAAAATGTTATCAAAAATGAATATCTTTTTATGTTGTAAGAAATTTAAGTAGTCAAATTATTATGTATAGTTTAAATTTACAAAACTAAATTTAACAACATATTGTTACATCATTTATCAACATAACTGAAATAAGAAGAAACACATACATATATACAGTGGCGACAATATAAATAGCACACTTTCATGGCCAGTTGGTTTAACTTTTTAATATCAAGTTTTATGTTTTTATAGCAATCGCTGTTATTTTTATAGCATCAAGAACGTTTACTTTTTTTAACGGAACTACTTTTTTTTCTTTTTTTTTTTTAATTTTTCAATTAAACTCCGTAATATAATACCAGATACTCTTATTCTTTCAAAAATAAACCAGTTATAAATATAAAAAATCAAAGACAAAATAATAAGAGTTAGTTATACAAAAATAAATAAAAACGCGGGAAACTTGCAGAAGACCATTAAGTCTTATCATCAAGAACCGTTGTAATAATTATGATTTTACAATATTAAATTCCTATAATAGTATTAAAAGCAAAACTTAATTAACTAAGATAAATAGTGTTAAAACCAAAAACTTTTCAATGTAAAAAGACAAAAGCAAAAAAACAAATAAACAAAAAAACAAAGCAGTTTAAAATATATCATAATAAAGATTTGTATACTTTGAAATATTCTTTTTTATTAGTTTTTGAAAGCAATTTATATTGTTTACACCTGGTAAATTACTATATTTTGCTTGATTTTATTCCAGATATGCGGAGCACGATACGTAATTTTAAATTGTTCTTGTTTAGTTTTGCACAATGGTTCAACTAAGCCTGTTGTTCGTAAAGTATATTTGAACACGTCATTTCGAAAAGGGCCTAAGTCCATTTATCCAAACTTTTCATGATCAACAAAAATAAGTTTATTAGAAAAAAAGTCTATGGTGCTAAAGAAACTAAAGATAAGAGTAGATAAATAAAAGTCATACATAAGTTTTTAGAGTTTTATTTGTTGTAAAAAAATAATACACATATATTTCTAATTTAAATTTATAGACTTATGTCTTTTTTGGAATAAAATCATTATACACAGTATTTTAAGTATAAACTTGTTATTCATTTTGCAAAAATCATACTCTTTCAACTATGGGACAAGGTAAACATGGAACGGATATCTTTCGAAGGCAAGAACAGGCATTTCGTGATCTAGAATTAAACAACTCGAAAATAGCTCGAAGATTGGGTTGTTCTCATAAAAAAATTATCAATGCTATTAATTTATATAGTATATCAACTCAAGCTAAAGGAGCGTAAGGAAAAAAAAAACTTTTATTTATTAAAAATAAAGCATATCCTTAAGAAAAAGTTTTAACTCAACAATACGGCTGTAATACTTCCATAAATAAAGAAACTTTTAAAAGAAATGTTCAAAGAACTTAAAAAGGAAACGGAAGAAATGTTTGAAAAATCATACATAAAAATCAAATATTTCAAAAGCAAGAAAAAGCAGCTCTCAATATTATTGGCGCTAACATTAAAATAATAAACGACAGATTTGAAAAAGTAGAAAAAAATATTGATGGAAATGCAAATTATATAAAAAAATTAACAAAGGAATTAGAAGATATAAAGGTAAGCCTTAATTTTAATGAAGGACTTATCGACGAAAAAATATTTACTTACAACAAATATCTAGATAAAAAAAATGAAACATACAAAAATAGATAATGTATTAAAAGAAAAACAACGAAACTTAGAAGATCGATCACGCCGAAATAATCTTAGGATTGATGGAATTTACAAAAACGATAAAGAATCATGGGGGGATAGCAAAAAAAAAAGTCCAAACATTCTTCTCCGAAAAACTTGGACTAAAAGATGTTGAAATTGAGAGAGATTTTTCTCGAGAAACCATCGCTATTCGAAAAAAATTGTTTGCTGAAGTAAAAGAAAGGCGATTGAATGGTGAAAGTGTTTCGGTAACGTATGACAAAATTGTTTATATTAAAACTTCCTTTAAAAGCAATTTTAACGAATAATTTTATGGGCATTCATAAAAAGAAATTTTAAATTACATATATTAATCATGGCTACAAATATTTTGAATCTCGTGTTTTTAAATTTCAAAAAACAAACTACTCTTCGTTAAATGAAAACTTAGACTCTGATAGCAATATATTTTCAGATTGTTTATATTACTTTCCTAGCCAACTAGAAGGGTTTTTTTTTAAGAATGAGCGTGAAAGAAATAATAATCAAATGTTAATTCTCCATCTCAATATAAGAAGCCTAAATAGCAATTATGAAAAACTTTTAGACTTATTAGAAGAAACATGATTTTAATATAATTTGTTTAACAGAAACTTGGACTTTATTAGAAGACCTAAATAAATTTCGCCTACCTCATTTTAATACAATTTCAATAGAATTGAAAACAAATAAGCGCGGTGTTGTGTAGTTTTAATTTATGTTCACGTAAAATTTTGAGCATTGTTTTAGGCTTGATTTAAGCGTTTCTGACCGCGATAGAGAAATTGCGACTATTGAAATTACTAACAACATCAACAAATTTTTTTTACTAAGCTGTTGTTATCGGCCACCTGATGGCGTGAGCGAAAACCTTAGCATGTTTTTACAACAAATCATTAAAAAAGATACCGTTGAAAAAAAGCAAAATTTTATAATTGGAAATTTAAACATGAATTATTTTCTTTATAATGTAGCCTTAAAATTTAACATTTTTATGATGAAATTTTTGAAACGGGTTCAATGTCTTTAATAAACAAACCTACAAGAGTCAGTGGCGGATTAAAACTTCTTGGGGCCCGGGGCTATTTTTGTTTTTGGAGGCCTTTTTATAGGCCAGAGCCTAAAAATTACTAAAAAAAAAAGGTCCTTTAAAATTTTTGGAGGCCCCTAAATTTGCGGGGCCCGGGGATATAGCCCCCCTAGTCCCACCCTTGATTCGCCACTGACAAGAGTAACGATAAATTCAGCAACTCTAATAAATAATATAATAACTTCAGATATTTTCAACAATGATTTAAAAGTAAGTATTACCGATATATCTGATCATTTTCCTACATTCCTAAAATTAGATAATACAAACTCTGAAAAAACTTTAACCGCACAAAAAGTAATTCGAAAACGCATTTATAATGAGGCTAACCTTAATTTATTCAAAAATCAACTTTCATTACTGCACTGGAATAACATAAATTTAAATGATAATGCAAACAATATCTATGAGTCTTTTTTCAAAACATTTTTTTCTGTATACGATGCTAATTTTCCAATCATTGAAAATAAAATAACAACTAAGAGCGGCAATACACCCTGGATTACTAAAGGCTTTAAAAAATCGTCCAAAATTAAACAAAAAATATATATAAATTTTTTGAAAACAAAAATACCTAAAAACGAAAAAAATTTACAAGGACTACAAAACACTATTTGAAAAAATCCGCAAAAACCTGAAAAAAATTATTACTCCCAAGTATTTAATACATTTAAAAATGACACAAAACACACATGGCAAATATTTGGAATTTATTGGAAAACAAAAACCATGCTCAGGTTTTCTGCCACAAATGGTTAGAGACGATAAC